TGGGTACATACCTAGGACTAGAGTTACTGGGTCATATGGCTATATCATTTTACATCACCATCAACAAAATGTCAAGGTTCCAATTTCTTCACCTCCTCACCAACACTTATTATCTGTCTTTTTTATTATAGCCAAGAAGATGACATTTAAGCTAAGATCTGAAGGCACTGTGGGAGCGTGCCATGTGGATAGTAAGGGTCAGAGGCGGCCAGGCAGAGGAGCCAGCCAGGGCAAAGCCCTTGAGATAGGAGTGCGCCTGATGTACTCCCGGAATAGCAATGCAGACAGAGAAAATGGGCTGACATGATCAAAGGAAGTGAGCAAGCTGATGGAGGGCCCAACACAGGTGGTTGAAGGCCACTGTTAGGACTTTGGCTTTTACTCTACAAGAAATGAGAAGCCATTGAAGGTTTTTAGAGTAGAAGGGTGACGTGATTTGACAATATAACATTATCACTCTGATTGCTGAATTATATGTGGGCAAGGATGACATCAGGAAGAATCAGAGAGAGAATTGGTAGATTTAAAAATATATATTTTTTATTGATTTTTAGAGAGAGGGGGAGGGGGAGGGAGAGAGAAAGAGAAACATCAGTGTGAAAGCAGAACATGGATTGGCTGCCTCCTACCTGGGATCAAGTTCATAACTCGGGCATGTGCCCTTGACCAAGAATCGAACCAGCAACCTTTTGGTGCATGGGATGACACCCATGCAACTGAGCCACACCAGCCAGGGTGAGAACTGGTAGATTGATGCAATAATGGTGGCCTGTAGGGCAGTTGGCATCAGGGAGTAGTGAGAAGTAGTTTAATTCTGCATATGTTTTAAGGTAGAACCAAGAAGATTTTCTGCCAGACTATGAGTGGAACATTAGAAAGAAAGGAATCAAAATGTGTGGTTTACTGATTTTTTTACTTCAGGGTATAGTATATCAGGAAGTATGTTCAAATTCATTTCCTCTCTATGAACTTAGGCCAGAGCCAAAGTTCTTAGGTGATTCCACATGTCAAAAAATATTGTCCATGGTAATCAATAATAGTAATAATAATAATATCCAACCATCTCATGAGACAGGTAATATTTTCCTCAACTTACACATGTGTAAACGAAGATGTGATTAGTAACTGACAGCTTCCTTAATTTTTGTCCCCTTCCCACATTAGGAACAACCAGAAAAAGTCAAATATGCCCCCCTAACCATTATATAGAATGCCCTGCTTCTAGTTAGCACACCTACATCTTCCCTATGCCAACAGACTCCAGTCAGGGCATCCCTGAAGCCTCCCTCTTGTTCTGCTATAAACTTTCCCACTTCTCTGTCTTTGAGTCTGTGTTAAATTGCAAGGGGTGGTGGCTGACTTTCTTGCTACAGTGAACTCAGAATAAATAGCCTTTGCTTGTTCTTATTTGGTTCATCTTCATTTATTTCCACAGGCATCTTAGGTCAAGTTTCCCAGGAAATGGACTTTGAAATGAAGACTTGAGTGTAGGTTTATTGGGAAACACTCCCAAGATAATCACCTGTGAGGGGGGTATGGGAACAGGACTGGGCAGAGGGAGAAGTTGAATTGTGACACAGTTGCTCTAGCAGCTTTAACCCCCCCTTGAGGAGCTCTGAGTCTGGCCTTTCAGAAATGTCCCCTGGCCTGGATCAGTCACCGAATGCATGTTACCACTGGGAAAGGAGAGGAACCTTAGGTGAAGCAGGTCTCTTTAACCAAAGGCATGTTCGAGGGAGGATCCTGGCTGTGAACTCTCAGCAGCCAGCACTCTGGCTGGGGAAGGAAAACTTGAATACCTTGGGGGGGGGGGGAGTGGATTAGATGACCCACCAAACACACAGTTGGCAGCAGATGAACTCAACTTTAAATCCAAGTTTGAAGCTCTTTTAACTACATCATAGCTGTCTTCACTCAAAAAAAAAAAAAAAGACAAACGGAAATTTTGTGACCGCTCATTTTCTTTCCTCCTAGTCCAAAACCAAAACATTATTTGTAAAGTGATTCTGACATGTTTAGTGAGTGATTCTGAACATAGCCACTGAATATGGCATTTACAGGATCTGAAACAAGACCCAACAACCAAAGTCGTTAACTGAATTACCACATGCAGATATTTCTATCAGCTTAAAATTACAATACTTCACTACATGTTTCCCTGTCTGGCTAGAGCAGGACATTGTGATGTCCAGCTTTCCAGCCTGAGATGCTGACAAATTGAAAATAAATTAATGTGAAATGGTATCATCTCCACTTTAAGGATATTCATTCCCCAGGGGAAATTATTCTTAGTCAAAATCCTAATAGCAAGTATGCATAACCAATGGACATAGGCAACAATGCTGGGGGTTGGGGGGGCGGGATTGGTAGGAGGGTATCTAGGAGGGGAAAAGGAGAAACATCTGTCACAAAAATAAATCAATAAAGAAAATCTTAATAAAATATATCTTGAAAGTTAGTAAAATATTAATTTATTCTTTCAAAGAATCAGGTTCCCTACCTTATTTCTTAGTGTTATATGATTATTGCAATACTTTTAGCTTTATTTGAGCTACTTAAATTCAATACCTCCTGTTTGGTTTTACAAATAAATCAGCTTATACTGTATTCAGCTATACCTGAAGATTATAAAAAAACAAACAAACACCAAGTTGTAGCTACAAATTTGTCTGAATAGTCCCTTTATCTGTAAACAAGTCTAGCTGTGACATTATTTTCATCTGTCTGTCAGCATATCCTTCCACCATCACAAGAACTTTTGAATATATTACTCATTGTTCCAAGAGCTTCTAGCTTTTTCCCTTTTTGTGTGTCCTGGAAATCCCTTCACCCATCCCCTGGCCCTTCACCTCTCCTCCAAAGTTAGTCACTTCTTGGTAGCCTTGTATGGGGTCTCAGCCAAATTGTAATCTCAGGTAGCTTTTGCCCATTACATCGCATAGTGATTCTTAAACTTTGAGTCCTAAGAATTATCAGGGGGAACTATTAAAATAGAAAATATTAGAGATTCACCCTTGATCTAAAAATGCAGAATTTCTGGAGGATAGCTTAGACAAATGTATAATTATAATTAAATGTCTCTTTGTGGAGTTCTGTTAAACATCCCAGTTTGAGAACCACTCACAAGCAAATTTCACATTTCTGGCAACTGATACAGTTTCTTAGCTATAGAAGATCAGGCTACAGGTGGCATTTGGAGTTGATTCTTTTCTAAAGTTGTATATATAATAGTAGTCTATGAAAGTTGGAACAATAGGCTGGCTTTTCCCAGCAGTAATACATTTGTGTGATAAGGCCTATCAGGATGGAAACATTATAAATACAAAGAACTGCGGCTGATCTGGGGAAAATGGCTATGAAAGAATTGGAAAGATCTGCTGATTTCTGGAATGTTAAAACAAAAAGTCAGTAAAGGAGTTGAAGATTACTTCAAGGGACATTATTGAACAAATATTGAATGTAGCACTGGATCAGGTGTTAGGGAGCTCACAAAGATAAGAACACATAATTTAATGGACTCCAACAGGTATTTCTTGAGTACCCATTATGTGCACTGTATTGTACCAAAGCGCACCAGGACATGGTTCCAAAGTCTGCATTTGTATTAGATTCAGCTGGGGAGATTTTTAAAAATAAAATTGCTGGTCCCCACACTGTTGCTATTAAATCTAAATATCTGGGGTTGGAATTGGAAATTTCTAATGTATAAATATCTCCAAGTGATTCTGATGCATGCAGTCAAAGGACCAGTATTTGCGAATAGCAGTACCAGAGATCACGACAATGAATGGGCGTAGTGTTTGTTTTCACGGCATGTACAAACTGGTATGTTGAGCAATATGCTCTACCAACTTTCTTGACTGCCTTATATTCATGGCTTCTGTTTTATTCGTGATGTGCCTTTTCTCTGAAATGCCTTTTCCTCCTCTCTGCCATGAAAATATTGTCCATTCTTCAACATCCATTCAAATGTGAGAGTTGGAACTGTGTTCCTTAATCTCCCGGTCACCACTTTTCCAACCCCACCTCCATTACACAACCCTGTATAAAATCTACCCTTCATCTCCTTCACCTCCTTCATCTTCTTTTCATCCCCATTTCCACTCCTTTAGCTCATCTGAACCCCTCGATGGCCTTTTAATTGATCTTTCACACTCCATCGGCCCTCCTACCACAATTTATTCTTTATGGTCCTTTAATTTTGCACAGTTCAAATTTAACTTTTTTTTTTCATAGTGAAAAGAAAGTTTACTATTTCCTCATTACCTACAAAGTTAGGGATAAAAATGCTCCATTCAAAACTGGCATTTGAAACTACCTCATCAATTAGACTTTGATTATAAGCCACAGAAACAACTCTGAATAACTTAAGCAGACAGAAATGGGCTAGTTCACAAAACTGAAGTCCCAGTCATTTCCCTTCTTCGTATTAGTCTCAAGATTCTCATCCTTAGAGATTGTCTGATTCAATACATGTCCAGCTCTTCTCAATAGGGTAGTGGGGACATTGACTGAAAGATTATGCTCAATGGGGAAAGATACTTCTTTCAAAGCAAAATTCGGGTGCTGTTAACACAAACATAAGTGAATGTTAGGGAGCAAAACTAAGAAATGTCTACTAGACCCAAAATATGGCCCAATCCAACTAAAGTAAAATGGAAAACAATGGAGAAGAATCCGTACTTTCTTTTCTGAGGCATCAGAGGTCAAATGGGTGAAATAACCAAGGAAGCTAAGGCTCGAGAGACTGTGTTCTCAGGGTTGGGGCCAGTAAATGTTTTTATCAATGTGCGGAATGATTCAAGAAGTCATTGTGTGTTTAAGGGTAGAGATAAACTGTTTTCCATTTCTTCTCTCTGTGATCAACCAATTTCCACATGACTACCATGTCCTTTGCCCTTATAGGATTTTAAAAAATAATAACTTAACCACCATAATACAAGAACAGCCAGGATTTTATTGGGGAGAAAGTCAGTAGGGCAATAGCAACTTCTGTATCTTTAGGAGGGTAACAAGTCTTCCACCTCCAAATTTAAGAAAGGCGTGATCATCTCCCTTAGTTCCCACATTCTGCGGCGCCCAAGCATTGTGGGGAGCACCCTTTCAAAGATAAATGTAGCATCGAAAAATAGTACGTAACATGAAAGTACAGTGAAGGCGAGGACATAAAACATGATGAAAATCCTCAGTGCACGTTTCCTACAAAGAAAGAAAACATCTGTGTTAAGAACTTTCCAAAGAAAACCACATGTGACTCCTGGCTCCTCCGCCTAGGTAGCTCCAAGCAAGTAACTGAACTTCTCTTGACCTCAGCGGACATCTGCAAAAGGAGCCTGGAGGAGCTGATCACTTAAGCCCACCTTAGAACTGGTATTGGAATGCTAAGATTCTATAGCCGTGAAACAATGACACCCTCAGTATGGTGGAGGGAGGTCTTTCCTCTGAAATGTTCTTCTCACAGATTATTGCCATCTTCACCTCACTTATGTGGTGAGGTCTATGATGCTTATTTGGGAGAAAATAAAGGCACAGGGCAGTTGGATTTCCCTCCGGACACAAAATACAATGTGACAAATGGAATTCAGTCCTCTCTATTACCAGTTTTGTCTGGGCATCAGACTTACCCTTCTAAAATCATAGAAGCTTTTCCAAGTCTTTGAGGACTCCTCCTGGGCTGTGCCTACGATGTATTTTATCTATTTGCTTTTAAGTCCTTGCATTATTATTGTCTAATTATAAGTGCAATTTTAATTATAAATAAATGATTAGGGTGGAAAAATTCGAAAAATCCAGAAAAACATCAAGAAGAAAAGAAATGTCACAGATAATCCAGTTGCCTAGAGATAATCACCATCTGGAATACATTCCAGAAGGGAAAATCTAGAGCACAGTTCAAGTTAACGATGGATCTATTTTGTAACCTTACTCAGTAGATTCTCTAAACTGAGTCAAGTTTCTTGGCATTATCTCCACTGGCTATTTCTTGGTAGTTCTACAAATAGTTGCTTCTACTTCACACGTTTATTAAAGAGTGCAACTCAGTGGCTTTTAGTTTATTCAGATGCTTACGCAATCACCACCACAATCTAATTTCAGGAAGTTTTCATCACCCCGGAAAGAAAACCTGTACCTATGAACTGTTTTTTTCCTGTTTCCCATTACCCCCAGGCCTGCCAACCATGAATCTATTTCCTGTCTACATGGCTTTTCCTATTTTAAACATTTCATATGAATGGAATCACATAGTATGTGGTCTTTTGCGTCTGACTCCTTTCAGTTAGCATAATATTTTCAAGGGTCATTTATGTTATTGCAAATAGCAGTAGTTTATTCTCTTCTGTGGCTGAAAATACTCCATTGTACAGATATACCACTTTTTATTTACCTAATCATTAATCGATGAATATTTGTATTATTTCTACTCATTAACTATTATGAATAATGCCACTGTGAACATTCATGTACAGGAGTTTTGTGGACATATATTTTCAATTCTTTTGGGTGCATACCTCGGAGTGGGTCATACAATAGCTCTATATTTAACATTTTCAGGAACTGCCAAGCTGTTTCCAAAGTGGCTGCATCATTTTACAACCCCACTAGTTATATCTGAGGGTTCTAAATTCTCCACATGCTTGTTATTGTCTCTTTTTAACTATAGTTATCTTAGTGGTGTAAAGTGGTATATCTTGTGACTTGGATTTGCATTTCCCTTATGACCACCAATGTTGAACATCTTTTATGTGCTTATTGGCCATTTATGTATCTTCTTTGAAGAAATATCTATTCAACTCCTTTGTTCATTTAAAAAATTGGGTTGTTTCTCTTTTTGTTGTTGGGTTATAAGAGTTCTTTATATATTCTGGACACTGGGATCCTTCATTTGCAGGGTTCTGAAAAGCTCAATTCTGACAGTATTTTCCAGCTCTCTCACTGATTTTATGGAGGAGAAAATTCCTGGGATCTTTACTCCACCATTTTCACTGGCTTCACTCCTCACTCGCTAATTTTTGTTGAGCATGAAGAACATCTTTTATATTTCAAGTCCCAAAATGATCAAGATTTCTGCCTTTAAGTAGCCTATGGAGTATTAGGAGACAGATTTAAACTAATTTAATTTCAATAATATGCTGTGGGCTCTATATAAGCATCACATGCAAGGTATAGTGCACACACACACACAAAGGGGGCTGAAGATTCTACCTGGTGGTTGGGATAAAGAATCAGAAGTACATTGCCCGGCCAGAGTGGCTCAGTGGTTGAGCATTGACCCATGCACCTAGAGGTCGCTGGTTTAATTCCTGGTCATGGCACATGCCCAGGTTGTGGGCTAAATATCCAGTGGGGGGCATGCAGGAGGCAGCCAATCGATGTTCTCTCTCATCGATGTTTCTCTCTCTCAAAAATGAATAAAGAAAAAAATTTTAAAAGAATCAGAAGTATATATACTCAGGGTATATGTGATGGTGTGGCTCCTCTAAAATGAATTCAGAGACAGAATTTGCCAGTATGTATGTCTTCAACACTGTACAAGGGAGAGGCATCCTGTTCAGCAAGCAAAAGTTTTCAAATTAATTTAGCAGGTATGCTGCTTTGGTGGAGGTGTCTGCATCACAGTTTGTAGACATCATCCTTTAAGAGTTATGCACATATAATTATCTAAAGCAATAAGAGATGAATATATATATATCTATATATGTATATCAAATGCAATGGATCTATATCTAAAATAAGAAGAATGCTATTACTTATAAAGAACACAAATCATTTATAAAAGGAGATCAAACAAAATTTTAGTTAACACTTGAAGACCTTTAATCTTACTATAGTTCATATGTATTAGGGCCTCTGTCCAGCCCCCAAAGGCTCTATTCTCTACTTACCACATTGCAATGGGAGGAGGAGAGTTCTGCACTGAAGGGGGTGGTGGAGCCTGAAGAATCAGGGGCTCCATTTCTTCCATGCCCGTTTCTTCAGAACTCTGAGAATCTGTATTCTCTTTGTGCATTTGGTACATCCCCAGCTTTGTATCCAGCACAGTCACGTCCTTGCAAAAGTTCTGGAGAGAAGAACAATCAACTATCATTTTAAAAAAATTATTCTAGATGTCTGCCAGTTTCTTGTAGATGATGCTAAGGGCTCTTCCTCCAGAACACCTCGGGGGCCCACATCACAAATCGCATGTGAGTCACCTGAAGAGGTCGTTGGCAGGCATTGTCACCTCTTAGAAGGAGACCCCATCACACAGTAAATTAGCAGTATGGCATAGAATTAAACAAAACCCACATGCTAATCTTTGCTGGACTATTCATGTAGAAAGATAATTATCCTTGTATTAAATTTATCTATTGAATTTGTTCATCTATGTAGAACATATTTATTGAGTGGCTCCTACCAGGCACTATTCTAGGATACAGTGGCTGAAAAAATAAACAAGGAATGTGCATTCTGTTGCATGCTGAAGAGAAAATAAATAAGGTGATGAGACAGAGGTTTGGTGGTGGACATCTACTCTAAAAAGTGGGATAATTAGATACCACTGAGCAGGTGACAGGTTGATTCATTCATGCATTGTTTTGTTCACATTTATCACACTGTATAAGATCTTGTGGGAGGAGTTCAAAATTGAGTCCATTTTCTGGCTAAGGGAGATTAGGGAAGGTCTGGAAGAGATGACATTTGAGCTGAGCCGTGAAGAATGGTAATATGTATACACGGAGGATGAGCTCCTGATATAGGAGATGTGGAAGCCGCCCAGAGGTGTGAGGGGTTGGGAGTATGCCAGACCCACAAGACGATCTGTTGGCCCAAAGCAGAAGACCAGGAAGGGAAGACAGCAATGAGGTTAAAAAGAGATCAGTATGTGGTTCACTCTCAACTTCTAGGGAAAGAATTGCCCCTGTTTATATTTAAATCCTTTCATCTTTACCATTATTTGAACTTGTGTAACAGTGAAATCTTACCTTTATTTTTGCAACGAGTTTCTCCTTTAATTCATGAGCTTCATTACAAGTATCAACCTGAAAAGGCATCCACAATTTGGGGTAAAATAGAAATTATGTATTTAGGGCATATATCATTAAACCTCACTCATTTTGATACCACTTAATTGTAAAGTGGCTATAATGAAACTTACTTTGACTCAGTAAAATCCTTGCTCCCCAGAGCAAATTCAGAGTATAATCATGATAAATTGCAGGAGGAACACCCAAAGGATTAATAAAATTACTTTCAATGCTTTAGAAGTAAAAATTTATATAGCAGCGGCTTGTTATAAATCATCTTTTTCTCTTCTTATTACTTTTTTCTTGCTCCTTAAAAACCATCCACCAGGACACTAGTTAGAGAAACACAGTGCATTTCTAAGAAAATTATATATGTTTTAAATATTTTAAAATTTATAATATATAAATGTTAAGTCCTCATTATGTTAGTTTTAATATTTAGGCCTTATGGTTTAGCAAAAGGGCCATCCATGGAAGCTGTGTTTCCTCTTTCCTTCCCACGCCTCCTACAGGTTGTCAGGTAGCAATGATAGATGGTTTTTGTTGGTGTCTATCAATAAGATCAAAACATGAGCTGAAAGCAAACCACCACCTTCTAAAACATGAATGCCAGTTACACATTTGTCAGGAGTAAAATGTTTTAAAGGTCTTATTTTTTTCTTTTTTTTTATGCTAACCTGAGGACATTTTTCCATTTTTTGTTCAGATAGAATGGGAGGGAGAGAGAGGAAGAGAGAGAGACAAACATCGATGTGAAAGGGACACATCGAGTGGCTGCCTCCCGCACAACCCAACCAGGGCTGGGGACAAACGGCAACCGAGGTACATGCCCTTAGCGGAAATCGAACCCAGATCTCTCTGGACCACAGGCTGATGTTCTAACCACTGAGCCAAACTGGCCAGGGCTAAAGGTTTTAAATTAACATCCCATAAAACATTTTTAGCGTAACTTGAAAAGCAGAGCTATAGCAGGAAGAACAGTGTTCTGGGATTCAAGAAAGAAGGGTCTAGATAGAGATGCCATTTCTAGAAATTTAGTGACTTGGGGTGGTAAACACACATTACAATATGCAGATGATGTATTGTAAAATTGAACACCTAAAACCTGTATAATTTTATTAACCAATGTCACCCCAGTAAATTCAATAAAAAATAATTAATTAATTTAAAAAATAGAAATTGATTTTCAAAGAAGCCCTTGACAAGGCAAGCAAAGATATGGGTTTCTGAGGCATAGTTTGTAGTGGCAAACATGGATTATAAAGCCCCAAATATCTAACAAAATAAACTTAATAAATCTAAAAATCAAATCCTGCATTATATAAACAGTAAAAAAGTAAAATGACATTTAGTGGCATAGAATTTTTTGTTGTTGTTACTCTTCACCCTGGGATATTTTTTCCATTGATATTTTTAGAGAGTGAAAGGGAGGGAGGGAAGGGGAGAGAGAGAGAGAGAGACAGAGAGAGAGAGACAGAGAGAGAGAGAGATGAGAGACACATTGATTGGTTGCCTCCTGCACTAGCCCCCACCGGAGCCGGGGATTGACCTGCAACCCAGGTACATGCCCTTGACTGGGAATTGAATCCACGACCCTTTGGTCCAGGGGCTGATGCTCTAACTACTGAGCAAAACCAGTCAGGGCCATACAATGTTTTTAACAAAAAAATGCTAAGTGAAAAGTTGCAAAATAATATATATATAATATAATCCAATTAAAATAATATGTAAATATATGTATAGAAAGATTTGAAAGAATATGAATATACAGAAATGTTCACTGTGCCCTACCCAGGTGGCTCAGTTGGTTGGAGCATCATCCCATACACCAAAAGTTGCAGGTTTGATTCCCTTTCAGGCACATGCTTGGGTTATGGTTTGATTCCTGGTCAGAGCCCATATAGTAGGCAACCAATCAAAGTGTCTCTCCCTCTTATTCTCTCTCTCTCTTTCTCTCTCTCTCTCTCTTTCTCCAAAATCAATGGAACATGTCCTCAGGTGAGGATTAAAAAAATATATTTACTGTATTTATCATTGAGTGCGTAAAATTATTTTTCATATGAAAAAGTTTTTAATGTTTTAATTATTAAAATAGCATGTATTACCTTTGTTAAAAGAAAAACATATACATAGATTTATATCTTTAAATATATATTAAATATTTTTGTATATTTAGATATATAAATATATATACATGTGTGTATTAAAATATATACATATACTGATTTATATTTTACACGGGAGAGCGAAAACAAGACTGTTTGTTTTCATCTGGAAATAAGGACAAGTCACCTCATATTTCTGAGTTCTATTTTTCTCTTCCAAAAGTGAAGGCAGAGATTAAATGACAGTAAATTCCCTTCTAGGTTTAAAATTCTACCTTTCATCAAATTTTAGATTCCACTCACTAAAATTGTCTAAATCCGAGATTTCTTTGAAGAACTGGTTTTCTTTCTTAATTATAAAGCCATTTTTATCATTACCTGGACAGATTTGTTATCCATTTCTTCTAATTGCGTTTTAATTTCCATGATCTTCTCCTTTAAAACAAAGGGTATAAAACAAAAGTTGTAAAGAATAACATATGATATTGAAACAAAACAAATGATGACTTTCAGAAGAAAGCTAATTCATAATCAAAAAGTTTGAAATTTAATAGAAGCCATTTTTTTCCTTACTGGTCTGGTGCTGATCTCCAAAATCAATATTAAATTAAATCAACGAGATATTGGCCACATCCGATGTAAGAGGTCATTGAACTGGGCATTGCACTGGTTGAATACCAGTAATAAGAGTATTTGCCCTCAAACAGTTATGGAGAATGTCTAGTCTATACCCTACTTTACCAAGCTCATTCATCACCAGCCCCTGAGTTGTGGGATTGAATTATTTACAGAAGAGCTGTGATATGACAATCATATTTTACTTGGTGCCCTGGTTTGTTTATACAGAAAATGTCTTTACTTATCAAAGATAAGCAAGATGGGAGTCAGTCTCAGAATGGAAGTCTAGATGTTCATATGGAGATTTCAGAGAGCTTCATGGACTTCGGGGCTCAATAGCAGGCAACACCCAAAAGCCACCTCAAGGGTCTCTACTTAGCTTAGAGGTCTTTTACATTTGTTTCTGGTGTGTGTGTGTGTAAATGCTTGTACCAAATTTCTCTCCTCCCCCTTTTATGGCTTGCTGAATCATTTCATTTCTTCATGAGAGATAAATGAACAAATTCATGTGATATTGTAAAACTTCATTAATTTATTTCTTTTAATTTTCCCAAACTTGGTTTGCTGTTCTCATATCTGTTTCTAGAATCTTCAGACTTGCCCTTCATTGGAATAAACCTATAGCCATTCTTACTGACTTTGCATCTGTAACAATTATATTTAAAGTTTCTTATTCATTAAATTACTGCACCTGTTTTTTAAATTTTATCTTTATTGTTGAAAGTATTACAGATGTTCCCCCCCCACTGTCCCTGTCCACCCCACTTCAGCCCTCCCCCAAGGCCTTGGTTATGCATATATGCATATAAATTCTTTGGTTAATCTCCCCCCACCACCCCACATTTGTTTATATGCAGGCTTTCCCATCAGCCATTAAACCTACTGAGGACAGAACTTGTGTCAATTTTTTAAAAGTCATATTTATTGAGGTTATGCTTTATATACAGTAAAAGTGTAAATTCTATGAAATTTGACAAATGCACAATGTCATATAATCACCACCACAATAAGGTGTGGAATATTTCCATCATGCCCAAAATTTCCTGTGCCCTTTTGTAGATCTCCTCCTCCCTTGACCCACGTGGCTCTAGCAACCACTCATCTATTTTCTGTTCCTATCTTTGTCTTTTGCAGAATGTTATATAAATGGAATCATGAAGTATGGAATCTTCTGAGTCTGGCTTCTTTTACGTAGCATAATACACTTGAGATTCATTCATGTTGTTGGATGAATAAGGCCATTCCTTTTTATTGCTGAGTAGTATTCCATTATACAATATGTGTTACAATTTATCCATGTATCAGTTGGTGGATGTGTGGGCTGTTTTTAACTTTTAAGTTTGCATCTATTTTTTTAAAGTGCGCACACAGCCGAGGAGCTCCAGAGAATCTCCATACATATTCGTGACGGCTTTCCCTTTCATGTTATCTCAAGCCCCTATTTATTTTTTTTAATCTCACTTTCATTTATGTTTGTGCTTTTCTATCTTCTTCCTCACTCTTTTGATATTCATCCCTCCCTAGTCCCAACTCCTGCTGAAATCCACATTCCTGTAATACAGTTGACTTTTGGAGGAAATTTTCTAAGGCAAAATATTTCTTGATCTTTGTCCTCTTCCTCTTTTCATACTTGGCAATTTCCAAAGCCCAAGGATAGTGGTGGAAAAAAGCAAACAACTAACTCTTGACTTTTCAACTAGCACAAAATGAGGTTACTACTTTAAAATGTTGGACTGAGTCACAATTAAAAGTAATTTTTTCCTTGGTAATAAATCTGTGCTAATCTGTAGATGGCTTTTAATATGTAAGGGGTTTAAATAACATTGCCTTCTTATAATAAAAGAGCTATTTCTCCTTTACCTCTTCCAAAACCCACTGAATTTAAACTCTTTGGCTTAAGCTAAAGTAGAGGCTGACAATTTCAGTAAAAAGGGGGGGAAAGCTAAACACAGACTTTTTCCTTTTTTAGTGAGTTTTCTTCAAAGACCTAAAGTTTAGGAGAGCAGAAAAAGTATCAGTCAGGGCTCTAAAGTCTAATTCTGGTTCAGAGTTGATCACTACCTTTCTAACAACATTCTATGACTATAAAAGGGAAAATGAAACCTTTCTCTGAGAAACGTAAGGAGACAAAACAACAGGAAAACTTTGGAGATAATGAAAACAAACACAAGAACTCTTCCTAAAGGAAACAAGACAGACACAAATATGTCTCTTACATTCTCAGAAGGCAGTTCTGAGCACGTATTTATCTCCTGGTTGTCTTCTCTGCATTGTTAGATGCTGGGATACAAAGGTGAAGAGGAGTTTTCCCTTAAGGTACTCATCATTATCTTAAAATGACATCAAGATATAAACCTATCAAATATGTCTGACTGATTTTCTAGGTAGAATAAACTCAATCTAGGTTTTTTATGTCGTCAGAGAATAGGTTTGGTGGTACCCAGGCGAAAGATGCTCAGACTGACCACCAGATAGCGTTCCTCCTTGTGACAGAAGATGGGTTTTAATTCTTGTTATGAACTGTTAAACAATACAAGGGGCAGCAGAGTCCCAACAAACCCCCAAATGTCCTTTCCAAGACTTCAGCTTACCTCGATGTTTACCCCCTGATCAGGGTCAAGGTCCTGGTGTGACTCCAGCTTTTCAATTTGGTCCTCCAATGACATCACTTCATTTAATAAGCTGCAAACAGACCAAGGGATGGGCTAAGTCTGTGGATTAAGAAAAATCAGCTAATGGATAATCTTTTAAAAATATTTTTAGAGGATAAAAAATAAATAAATAAAAATAAAATAAAATAAAATATTTTTAGAAAGATAAGTTTTAATTTTTTTAGAAAACAAAATCTTAGCAACAAAATTTCAGATATCATACACAGCAGAATTTTCACTGATACATCACCTAAGGCAACAAAACAAAGGAAAAAATGAACACATGGGACTACATAAACTAAAAAGCTTTTGCACAGTAAAAGAAACAATCATCAAAATGGAAAGGGATCCCACTATATGGGAGACCATAATCATCAATGATGCATCAGATAAGGGGTTAATTTCCAATATATATAGAGTGCTCATACAACTCAACAAAAAGAAGACAAAGAACCCAATTAAAAAATGGGCAGAGGACCTAAATAGACACCTCTCCAAAAAGGATATACAAATGGCCAAGAGACATACGAAGAAATGCTCAACGTCACTAATCATCAGAGAGATGCAAATTAAAATAACTATGAGGTATCACCTCACACCTGTCAGAATGGCCACCATCAACAAATCATCGAACAAAACTGCTGGCAAGGGTGTGGAGAAAAGGGGACTCTAGTACTCTGCTGGTGGGAATGCAGACTGGTGCAGCCACTGTGGAAAACACTATCGTGCTACCTCAAAAAGTTACAAATTGAACTGCCATTTGACCCTGTAATCCCACTTCTAGGAATATACCCTAAGAAACCTGAAACAGCAATCATAAAGAATATATGTACCCCTATGTTCATAGCAACACTATTTACAATAGCTAAGATATGGAAACAACCCAAGTGTCCATCAGTGGATGAGTGGATAAAAAAGCTGTGGTACATGTACACAATGGAATACTATGCAGCTGTAAGAAAGAAAGATCTCTTATCCTTTGAGATGGCATGGAAGGACCTGGAGAGTATTATGCTAAGCAAAACTAGCCGAGCAGAGAAAGACAAATATCACATGATCTCACTTATTTATGGAATATAATGAACTAAACAAACTGATGAACAAAATTAACCCAGAAACACAGAGGTGGGGTACAGACTGACAAGCCTCGGGGGGGGGGGGAGGGGATTGAGGCTGGAAGAGATAAACTACAGAACTTATATGCATGTATGCATGACCAATGGACATAGACACAAAGCTGGGGATGGGGAGGGGTGGGGGGATGGAAGGAAGGTGTTAATGGGGAAAAAAGGAGAAACATCTGTAACAAAAACAAATTAATTTAAAAAATTAAAAAATTTAAAGAAAACAACAAAATCATATATCGGTATCAGACGTCTCTTGTATAGTGATTGTGTTGGAATGGGAAGACATAAATGCAATCTAAAAAAGTAAAAAACACTCTAAATAATTTAGATAATAGTAAAGAAATGTAAGACCTAACTAGACACAGGAGCAGAGAATTTAAATGATTAAAATGGAAGCTTAGTTAAATTTCTAGAAAAGAAACACAAAAAATCTTTGGACCTAGGACTGAGCAAAGAGATCTTAGAGTTGACACCAATAGCACTGCCCATACGAGAAACACTGATAAACTGGACCTCATTAAAATTTAAAAGTTTTGTTTGGCCAATGACTGGTAAATGGATTTGATCCCCAATTGGGGTACGTACAGTAAATAAGCAATTGATTTTTCTCTCTCACATCAGTGTTTATTTCTCTGTCTCTCTTTCTCTCTCCCTTCCTCTCTCTCTAAAATCTAAGATTATATATATAATCTCCTCAGATGAGGATTTAAAAATTTTCAAAAAAACAAAACCCCAAACCTCATAGATACCGACAATAATATGCTGATTGCCAGAAGGAAACGGGGGTTGGGGGAGGCAGAAGAAGGCTAAGGGGGCATCAGTGGTGATGGAAGGAGACTTGACTTGGGATGGTGAACACACAATACAATGTACACATGATGTTATTACAGAATTGTACACCTGAAACCTGTATAATTTTATTAACCCATGTCACTCCAATAAATGCAATAAAAAGAAAACAATAAATATATAAAAAATTAAAATGTATTGCTTTTTCTAAAAAAAAAAAAAAAAAAAAAGAAGAAGTTAGTATCACAAAATCGCAAAGCCCACATCAAAGTTGTCTGCATCTTTGCTCTCTCTTAAGGGAATTCCCTTATAGGTTATGTCTTTGAAATCATGTTAATAGATATCAAAGGGAGGTCTTCAGGCCCCGAATCTTTCTGATTGGCATTTCAGGACTCTTTGGATATATTCCCAGAAGTGGGATTGCTGGGTCATAAGGCAGTTTCATTTTTAATTTTTTGAGGAAACTCCATACAGTTTTCCACAGTGGCTGCACCAGTCTGCAGTCCCACCAGCCGTGCGCCAGGGTTCCCCCTTCTCCACATGCTCACCAACGCTTGTGGTTTGTTGATTTATTGATGACAGCCATTCTGACAGGAATGACATTAACTTCTAATCATAAGACTTTATACTTCTTATCCTAAAGACTCTACCACCTTAAACCCAGAGTTTCTAAATTTTCTGAAGCTCTGAAAATGTTAATTATTTTCTGACCAACCCCAGCACTCCGTAATTACCTCTTCACCGTGTTTTCTGTTCGGTTAGTTTTTTGTATAATGTTGTTAATTTTCTTCATCCAGCCCATGTGATCAGCTCCGAGTTCTTTAACCTGTAGACCCATCTGTGTGCTCCAGTGGTTCAGCTGGAAGAGCATATTCCCCTGACTCCTGCAGAAATATTATGATCAGTTTTAAGGTAGAAAATAGAGAACATGTCACAAGGTCCAAAACCCTCTTCTTTGAATGGCAAGTTGGTTTGCTTATTCATTTTCTGTCACCAAAATAGACCCAATAGGCATTTAGGCTTCAAGAAAGAGGTTTGGGAATGTATTTGATATTCATTTCAACAGATCTTTACAAGAATGGGGAAAATAAAGCCTATTTTATATTTAGTAAAAACAGTAGATATATTTTTAATTTCCCTGCATAGAGTGAACATTAAGTATTGATTTCACACTATTGGTGGCATCTTAGGGGGATGGAGTGGTAGACAATAGGGAAAGGGTCTAACAATATATTTTTAATGATAATTATAATACTTTTCATATCTAGAAAATTATCTGAGAGTGATATGGCTTTGCCTATATCCTTAGATAAGGGATATATTCTTGCTGGAATGTGTAGGTAGTTACTTATGCACATAAGTGCTTCACGGTTTAATTCATGTATGGATTTTATATCTTCCTGGCTTTCCCTGAGTTTTCTGCTAACTCATTTTCCCCTCCACAAAACATGATTACACGTTCCCTCTTGCATATGTCAAGGCTTACAGTCCAGGTATGTTCTCCTCTGAAAACCGCAAAGATGTGGACACTTGAGGATCCTCACATTGAACATGATGTGTTTCTTGCTCATCCGGTTTATTCTGCAGGTTCTCGCGCTCGGCCTCCAGCTCCAACATATCCTGATAGTGATCATGAAAGAAGCAAAGCAGAACAAAAGGGCAATCACAACAGGTGGTGGTCCCTCTAGCCTCCCACACCCCCTCTCTGGGGGCAAGCACATAGCCCCCCCTGAGGCTGGAGCCTTCTAATGCATTTGTAAGATAAGTAGACATGCTCTGCTTGGTTGACAAAAGGAAGGCTGGAGCAAGGACATGTAGAACCTCAGTGTCCACACACACAACTCTTCAGTGCTGATAAGTGATAGAGTTCCATTTGCCCATGGACTCTAGCGCTCCACTCAAATAAGGTGACCGGTCTCTTTAAAAAAAGGAGAAGAAAAGGAGGGTGGGACTGTTCTATAGTAAGAGAGTCTAAACATTAGACTCTAAAGAAACATCACAACCAAATGCTTTGTGTACGTCTTGTTTGGATGCTGGTTTTAAAAAACACAACCATGAACCCTGCATGGGTAGCTCAGTTTGTTAGAGTGTTGTCCTGATATGCCAAGGTTTCGGGTTTGATTCCCTGGTCAGAGCACATACAAGAAATAACCAATGAGTGCATAAATAAGTGGAACAACAAAATGGATGTTTATTTCTTTCTCTTTATCTCTCTCTCCCTCTCTTTGAAACCAATCAATAAATTTTAAAAAATAGCAGCCATAAAAGACATGTGGAGGTCAATTGAGAAAATTAGAATATGAGAAAATTGAGAATGTGAAATTATTTTATAGAATCATTGCTAATTTTTCTAATGTGATAATGGTATTTTAATTATGTAGAAGAAAGTATTTTTAGAAATGTTATCGGAAGTAAACAGGAATGAAGTGTCACGCTTTGACCTACTTTTAAATGATTCAGAATATTCCATCTATGTACAGATATAAAGATAAAGCAAATGTGACAAATGGCAATAATTTTAAAATATAAGTTTGAGCATATGAGTAATCATATAATTCTTCTACTTTTTAAAAAAATATTTTTATTTGTTGACTGATTATAGAGAGATAGGAAGTCAGGGAAACAGAGAAAGAGAGGAGGAGAGAGAGAGAAACACTGATTTGTTGTCCCATATATTTATGCCTTCATTGGTTGCCTGTTGTATGTGCCCTGACCAGGATTGAACCCACAATCTTGGCATGTTAAGACAATACTCTAACCAACTGGGCTATCTGGCCAGGGCTAAGTTTTTGTTTTGTTTTTGTAATAAAGAGTTTGGAGGGGAAAGTCTACCCTATCAGTTTGACTTACAGAATTTATTTCTTTGTTTCTTTATTCTTTGCCTGTTCTAGAAAAGCATCCAAGGCATTTTCTGGTATTTCAAGTCTGTGCATGCACACAATGGACAATGATTTATCTTCAAACATTTTTTTTTTTTTATCTTTAGTAACTACCTTGTGAAATATTTCTCCTTCCCTTTGAAAAAACTTGGTCTGAAATTCTTATGTTTCAGCAAAATTGTTTTTGAATTGAAAGGAGACAATGTTGGAGTGGAGATCAATCTCTTATTGAAATCTTTGTATAAATTACTGGCCAAATCAGTAGGAATAGCTAACATCCATGTAACCCTTTATAAGTTTGTTTCATGTGCATTATTCTTTTAATTCTCATGATAGACTTGAGATAAAGATAGGTACCGAAATCCCCTCAGGCCCTGGCCAGTTTTGTTCAGTGGTTACAGCATCAAGTTCAGGGACCAAAGGGTCACAGGTTCAATTCTGGCCAAGGGCAAATACCTAGGTTGCAGGTTCTATCCCTGGCCCAGGTCAGGGTTGTGCAAGAGGCAACCAATCGGTGTGTCTCTCTCTTTCTCCCTCCTTCCCTTCCACTCTATCTAAAGATCAATGGAAGAATATACTCAGGTGAGAATTAACAACAGCAGCAAAAAGAAACCCCTTCAGCCGTTCACATTTAGTGATTTGCCCAAGGTCATGTGGTGGAATGGGTAAAGCAGTCACCTCAAAAAGATATGTCTATGTCCTAATATTAACACCCTGTCAATGTGACTTTATTTGGAAAAAGAGTCTTTGCAGATGTAATTAAGGATCTTGGAATGAAATTCTTTTGGATTACCTGGGTGGGCTCTCAATTCAAGGACAAGTGTCCTAATGAGGAACAGGAGAGAAAACAATCACAGCGGAGAAGGTCATGTGAAAACAGAGACATCCACAAGCCCAGGAATGCCTGGCGCCACCAAGAGCTGGAAGAGGCAAGGAAGTGCTCCCCGAGCCTGCCAAGGGAGCGTGCCTCTGCTGACCCCTTGGCTTCAGGATTCCGGCTGCCAGAACTCTGGGAGAACACTTTTTTGTTGTTTTAATACAGTTTGTTGTGGTAATTGTTACAGCGACCACAGAAGACCAATATATATGGCTAGTAAGTATCTGAACTAGAACTTGAACTCATTTTTCTGATTCCAAGACCATGGCTCTTTTTGTCATATCCAGGCCTTGGCTTCAGATTAAGAAATATCTAGTCCCTGCCACTGTCACTTACACAACCCAGTGGCACCTCACCAGTGACATAAGGACTATTATCACATTTATAGATGAAGAAACCAAGGCTAGATTTTTCCAAGTATTATACGACTCTACTATATTTAACTATCTCTTCATGAAAAAAGCATCTACAATTCCAATTTATTTGGATTACCTGGGTGGGCTCTAAATTCAATTTAGAATCTTTTTAAAAAATTCCCACCAAATCTTTTATTTTTAATCTATTTATTGTTGACAGTATTACAGATATCCCCCATTGTGCCCACCTTGCCCCTCCCTGACCTACCCCAGGTCTTCCCCACACTATTGTCTGTGTCAATAATCTTTGGACAAGATTCAAAAACAGCAGAAACATTGCAATGTAGAGAAGGATTGGAAATTGGAGGACCTTAATTCTAAGCCTTGTTCCGCTGCTGTGGATGCTGAACCACCCACCTAAACACTCTAAAGCTGCTTCCCATTCTAGAATAAGAAAATTGGACCAGATCATCTATAGAGTTTTATATCTAATAATCTATGATGACGGTTCTTGTTTTTATCAATTGATTCACTGGGATGGGTAATGTACTGCAAAAGAGTCCAGGGGCAGGAAATAGAAATAAAAGATTTTTTAAAATCTGCAGGATTGAACTCAAAGAATTGTGCGTATATGTTTTGTAATAACCAAACATGTGCTTGCATGAAATGCACACCCTGAGGGCGTTCCTAGCTATTTTTGTGCAGCTCTTTGAAGAGCTCACGTCTCCCCCGGATGTTCCCTAGGCACCTCGGTCTCGGCGAGCACTCTCGTATTCCCCTCTACCTCGTCCAGGTTCCTCATCCCTGCACATGCTCTTCCTGTCCACCCAGACGCCTCTGCCAGAACCTGGGAGAGGTCCTTGAGTTTTCACGGCAGGCATTCTTTTCCCTCTTTAGTACCCATGTCATATCCACTTGGTGTCCCAGCCCAAGAACACCTATCTTTCAAATCTGTGTCCTTTCCTCCCCCATATTCATGGCCTCCCTGCTGCCAGTCAGTGCCTTGCTGCAGTCCTCATCAGTTCTTGACTCCTCGGGGTGTCCTGGCTTCTAGGCGGCACCATCTCCACATCTTGGGGTCCTGCCTGCCTGCCCATCACCCCTTCCTCTCTCAGAACACAATATTTCTCTGGCCCCTTTGTCTTGCATGTGCAGTCCCACCCTCCTGAAATGCTTCACCCCCACCCAGTTTATCCTTCAAAGCTCAGTCGTCATATTCCTGGCCGCCTCCTGGCTACTCCCAGCATGGATTTGTCACTGTGGCTATTTCCTCGTCTGAGTCCCTCCTAGTGAGGGTGCTCACCGAGGGCACAGGATGTCATATCTATGTATCCCCGGCACTTGACAGTTGTTTTAGAATAAACAGATGCCAGAAGTAGGCAAATACATTTTGCTTGTGAGAGATACAGACAGAAGCAGGAAATAGGAAAGTCCGTTCATTCACCTGGCGTCCAAAACCAACACTCCTAGAACAGTGTGAGGGATCAGGAAATGTGAAACCAGAGCAAATGGCATTCATCACTAACATTCGGGAGGGACGGCTTTGATGGTTAGATACGGCAGCTTCGGCAGTATGGCTCAAGTCGATTTCATTAGTCGATTTCAATATGACATTAGTTAAACCGACAATTGGTATTTTTAACTTCTATTCACTCAGTTCATTTTCTGAACCTGTCCTTTAAATCTTATCTTCCCTCATAAAAACAAAATGCAAGTTATACAAAGTACAGACCTTCTGATTTCTTTCAGAGAATAAGAGAAAAAAAATTTTTTTTCTCAAGTAGTCAGACATTTGTCTTTTTATCAGCAGAGAAGCTAATTTATAAATACTTATTGTTACTCATTCAACTGCATGTGATTTATTTATGTAGGTGTAGATTTTTCCATGTAAATAAATTAATAGAAAGAAATACAATCAAAATTTTAAAAAACTTTTTGTTAAACCTGTGGCCTGACTCGAAGTTGGTAAGAAATAGTTTGTAGGCACCATACCCTGAGAGTGTGGACTCTGACAAACTCTTAGAGAGTGAATATTTTTCATTCTCTAATCAGACTTATTCTGTCCTGGGTCAACAAGTGATAGTGTCACAGGTTACTGACAAACAGGATTCAGGGGGGCACATGGAACCTCGAACGCAGGAAAGATGTCGTGGCAAAGTGGCGGTGTCGTGGCAAAGTGGCGGTGATGACAGCAGCCTTATCCTGGAAGCCAGGCACAGACCGCCTGCGAGAATCAGAGGACGCTGTTTGCAAAGTCATCTCTTCAATCCATGTGTTTCCCAAGGGCTTAGCCCACACACACCTCAATTTCCCTATTTTCTTTTCCCATCCACAGCCTTTCTAAAACTCCATCCTAAGATTCTCCCTCTAATTCAGTTCCTATTATTCTATTTTACCATAAGATGCGTGTCTGGCTACTCCTTCTACTTTGTGTCTGCCTCGTCATTGTCCACTCTCCATGCCTTCATAGCTTCTATTTATTTGGGGGGGGTGGTGGTTGTGCAACTACAGCAAGTCCTCGAAGGTAAAGTTCAGCTTGGGATATTCTTTGGGGATCTTTCCTTCTACAGAGTTGTAGAGTTGGCCATCCCCAGATCCAACATTATTTAAAAAAGAACTAGACCGATGAGTCCTGAGCTTCCTTTGGAGGCTGCATAAACGCGGGAGTGAGCAATTCCCACATCATCCTTTCCCAATGTTTTCTGACCAGTTGAAATGACCTTCCTCTGTAGCCAGTAAGTCTGGGGAATCTGCGGCAAAATTTGCTCATCAATAATAAAGGGGTCTCGGCCTTGCCTTTGCTTTGATCTAAATGGGAGCAAAAGCATAAAGTCCTTCCAGGACAAGCTGGGGCTTTGTCTTAATTTCCTCCATTTCATGTCAGGTGGGTGACTGAATTTCAAAGACGGAGAAAGGTTCAGACTAAATTAAGAGTAATTAGATCTTTCTTTTTTTTTTTATCCTCACCCGAGGACATTTTTCCATTTTTTGTTCAGATAGAGCAGGAGAGAGAGGAAGAGAGAGAGAGAGAAACATCGACGTGAAAGGGACACATCGAGTGGCTGCCACCCGCACGACCAACCAGGGCCGGGGACAAACTGCAACCGCGGTACGTGCCCTTAGCGGGAACCGAACCCGGGTCTCTCTGGACCGCAGGCCGACGCTCCAACCACTGAGCCAAACCGGCCAGGGCGAGTAACTAGATCTTTCTGATGCATTCTATTGGAAGACAATCTGTGAGCAGGGGGCAATTTTACATATGGTAGTTGGCAGTAAGGTGAAAAATGTCACAAAAGTAGCATGTATGTACCACACAGCGTTTTGCGTGGGGAGGCTCGAGTGCTAACAGCAGCCCTCAGAGACGGAGCCTCCCTCCCGGTTTCACCTCTGAACGTCCTGCACCTACGTATTATGAGGAAACCCTCAGAGATTTCCTTTCTGCTTTGAGATAGAGAGTTTGTCTCTTCCCTCACCGTGGCATTTAAGTCTCTCTCTTACCCATTTTTAGTCTCCACTTCTTTTTCATTTAATTTATTTATTGATTTTAGAGATTGAGAGGAAGGGCAGAGAGAGAGAAAGAGAGAGAGAGAGAAACATCAATTTATTGTTTCACTTATTTATGCATTCACTGGTTGATTCTCGTATGTGCCCTGACTGGGGATCAAACCTTTGACCTTGGCGCATCCCGGCGACACTCTAACCAGCTGAGCTACCTGGCCAGGGCTGGTCTCCACCTCTTGAAGGGAGTCAGTTTGAGGGTTTTCAGAGACAATGTTGTCCTCATCATCTGATCTGTCCAAGATGTGGTCCATTTTGGTAAACTTCCTTAGCAAACTGCCGGGCACACCATCAATACAGATGCTGTGATTGTGCCTTCAGTCTATAGTTTAGGCTTGCCCTGAACATTCCCAGAGGGAGAACACTGGGATCATTCCAGGCCCCCAAAGAGCACTGCTATCCTTGTACTGATTTCATCCTGGGTGAATGATGTCTAGCTCAGCAGATTGCACACATGGGAAGACAGGCTGGGTAACTATCTGCTGACTGAACCAGTACTTGATTGAATAGTGAGATTCCCAATTCCAAAGCCACTGTAGCTGTGCAGCTCTGTGTGTGTGCTTGCAGGAAAATGACTGTGTAAAATAAACAAATGATAAGTAAATGTCCATTTTAAAAAACTAGAGTTAAGCCCTGTCCGGTTTGGCTCAGCGATTAGAGCGTCGGCCTGCAGTTCAGAGACCCGGGTTCAGTTCCCGCTAGGGGCTTGTACCTCGTTTGCAGTTTGTCCTCGGCCCTGGTTGGGGTTGTGGGAGGCAGCCACTCGATGTGTCCCTTTTGCGTCGATGTTTCTCTCTCTCTCTCTCTCTTCCTCTCTCTCCCTCCCACTCTATCTGAACAAAAATGGAAAAATGTCCTCGGGTGAGGATAAAAAAACAAACAAAAAATCTAGAGTTAAAATGTGTCTTATGGTTCAAAAGACAAGTCCACGACATTGTCTTGGTCTTTGCCCTCCGATGTCCTCTCCACAACATTTACTAGTTTCTTCTTTATACTTCCACAGAGATTCTGTGCAACCCCAACCCTGAACTTGGAAATCTCATCATTTGCATCCTATTGGCCCAATAAGGTCTCCAGGCAGGACCCCAGAAGCTGCTCCTGAGAGCTTAGCCCTGACTTACTTTTCCATTGAACCTTCGTTTGCATCAATATTTTGGAGAAAGCCATTGTTTTTCTCAGTCAACTCTTGTCCCTTCATCTGCAGAGACATCTTGTCACCTAGCTTCATGAGAGCCATTTCTTCAGCATTGCAGGGACAATGATGAAGACAAAGAGCGGTTCCATGGCAGACTTGACAATTGTAATCCCTATGCTGATCGCAGGCTTATTTCTGGGAATTTGGCCTGAACCCCTCTCTTTCCCAAACTGGCCATCAATTGGAAGAGACCCCAGAGTAAGCTTTTAAGGTCTCTCTGCTCCGATATATGTGGGAAGGTCTGGTGGGTGGCTGTCCCTAGGAACTTCTCTGATTGACGTGAGGGTTGTCCAAGCCTGTCCATGGATATTTTGCATCCTTGAATGGAAATATTAGCAAGCAATACTTAATAGCCAGGCTAGGGAGGGGGGAATCTTTATACGTATAACCTCTTTCTGATGATATATATGCACATTGTAAAAAATAGATAATGACAAAGAAGAAAATAAAAATCACTGGTACTCCAGGGATAACCAGAGATACCCCGGAGGTACACAAACAGAAGCACTGCTAATATTTTGGTATATATCTTTTCATTTTTAAATTTGATGTTTTAAACATTCTTTTACTATTGTTGACAATCCATTTGTTTCTAATTTTTCACTATTATAAATAAGATAGTAGTGAATATCCTCATTTAGTGATTTTTAGTGCATCTCTATAATTTGCTTAAGACACTTCCCTGGAAGTGGAACTACTGGGAATATAATATACAGATTTTTAAGGGTTTAGAAAAGATTCCCAAATTACTTTTCTGAAAGTTCGACCCATATACACCATCAGCAGCTGGAGGTCTGAGAACAGAAACCTTCATTCCGACCTGACAGGCAAGCGTCGCTGGAGAGCAGAGGAGGAACGTTAGGGTCCCCGCGGACTGAGAAAAACAAGATGAAAGGGGGCAGGGGAGAAGGTAGAGGGTGTGAGGCCAGTTCTAAGAAGCTCATGTGAAAAGCTGCAAGAAAGAGTCTGAAACGTAGCTCCTAGTTATTGACAGAAATCAGGATTGCACGCAGCATCACACAGGAAAAACCTTTTCCTCTGCACACTCATATGAGTGACAATGGTGAAATGACCTTGAAGTGGAGAGTAGCCTGGCACGCAGGCCCCTGAGAGACAGAATCCTGAGGGGTAGAGGGGCCTGGAGACTGGTGGGAAGTGACATCATGCAGAAATTTCCCCCGGAAGGTGATTGGTAGCTGGGATTAATAGGAGGAAGGCGAGAGGCTCGGGAACCAGAGATACTGGGACCACGTGCGTAACTCAGGGCCTGGTTTATCGCTCTGTGGCAACACTGAGCTCTGTCCTTGACCTACGTGGGGAGCCACGGCGGCTGTGGTGCCAGGGGACCCCTGTGAAAGGGAAGCAGCGGGGGGAAAGTTCCATCCTTCCTAACTTGGAGTTTGACAAAGAAGAATAAACTTTTGGTCTCTTTCAGGAAGGACACTGAGACCTGCCCAGTTTCATCACAGCTCCTATCTGGACAGTTTCATCTGTTTCCTGAAGGTGTTCAACGTTCCTAAGGCAATTCCAAGCCCTGAAAGATGAATGACCACTGAGATCTGCCTGGTTTCGAACCTCTTTCCTGTTCAGAAATTAGAATACTGTACAAATAATAACATCCCCTTATTTTGGTAACTCTCTGACATCCCAGTACTTTCCATTGTGTGATTTAAAAGAAAATACAATTCTCTGGATCCAGCTACCTACGCAAATTCTGCCTCCATACATTTTGTCACATTTCAAGTAACAAGTAGAATCCTGATGATGGCTTGTGTTTCCGTAGCTCCTAATAGATTACCAAGTGCTTTTCACATGTTTTCTTATTCAGTTCCCACAACAGCACAGTGAGGAAGGTATTGTCCCCATTTTATGTGTGCTGTAACAGAGGCTCTAGGGGTGGTGTGATTTGCTTTGAGTCATATAGCTGGTGAACTAACAAAGCCAGGACTCAGAACTCCCATGTCCTTACAGCTCCTTGTAAGAGATTTCTCCCCCATCCCAAAGACGATTTAGACCAGAGCTCTTCCGTGAAACTTCCTGTGAGGATGGAAATGTTCTCTACACCATCCAAAACAGCAGGCAATGGCCACGTGTGTCCACTGAGCACTGGAGAAGAGGTTAATGCAACTGAGAAATTGAATTTTAAATTTAAGTTTAAACCTAAATAGCCCCCCTGTTGGACAAGTCAAAATGTTCTAGACCAGGAATCAGCAAACTATTGCCCACAGGCCAAATCCATCCTGCCACCTGTTTCTGTAATAACGTTGTACGGGAACACAGCCACACCCGTTCCTTGACGCACTGTCTACGGCTGCTTTTGTGCTGCAGTCACGGGGCTGAATAGTGGCAAAAGACCTCAGTTTGACACGCAAAGCCTAAACTGTCTGTTACCTGGCATGCAAAGCCTAAAATATTTAATATCTTGCCCTTTACAAAAACAGTCGGCCAACTCCTATTCTAAACCATTGCCTTCTGTGATGCTGGGTGTTGGTTACAATGAGTCACCTGAATGTAGTGAATAAGAGCTTGAGTTTTGGAGAGTGTGGCTGAGTTCACATCAGAGCATCAACACTTAGCACCTAAGCATAATCTAATGCTCTAAGTCTTGCTTTCATCGTGTGTAAAATGTGGCTGACTTGCCCTACTAATGTTTTTAGAGTTGTGAAGAGTAAACCAAATAATCCTTGTTGCGCTTAACATAGCGTCAGATGGATGCAAACGCTTGGCAATGTTAAAAATAAAATAAGCCCTGGTCAGTTTGGCTCAGCAGTTAGAGCGTCGGCCTGCGGTCCAGAGAGACCCGGGTTCAGTTCCCGTTAAGGGCATGTACCTCGGTTGCAGTTTGTCCCCAGCCCAGGTTGGGTTGTGTGGGTGGCAACCACTCGATGTGTCTCTTTCACGTCGATGTTTCTCTCTCTCTCCCTCCCACTCTATCTGAACAAAATATGGAAAAATGTCCTCAGGTGAGGATAAAAAAATAATAATAAGTAAATAAAACCAGTGGAAATGGGAGCTATTATCAAGATTTCTTTTGCTTAAAATATAATTATTATAGGTATTAATTTATAATTATAATAAATATGATTAACAATAATTATTATTATATATGTGCAGCAGTTTCCATTTATAAAGCGTTTTCACTCAGTTGTTTCATTTAACCCTCATATCCATCCTGTGCTTGGGAAACCCAGACCGATCCTATTTTCTCCATTTTTTAAGATAAGGAAACGAGACTCAGATGATTCATGATTTGTCCAAAGTTTTATTGCCAGAAAATGGTAGAATCAGGATTTAAAACTGCCAATTCTGGCTGCAAGTTTTACAGTCATCATACTATTATATATAACATTTCTGGACAATATGTTTTGATGGATTGGTTCTAGCCTTCTTACCTCAAACACAGGCATCTTTTGAAGCCGACTTTGGACTAGTTAACACAGTTTAGGTCCTCGCCGCCCAAAGCCTGGTCTGCAGACCACCAGCAGCAGCCGCACCGGGGAGCTGGCTGAACATGCAAGACCTCAGGTCCCACCTTAGACTCATTGAATCAGTCCCTGCATTTTCACAAGATGCCAGGTGATTCATATATATATATGTATTAAAGTTTAGAAGTACTTACACTCCAGACCTTATAAACTAGAATCCCTCTTCTGCTCATGTCTTCATTCCCTTGTTTACACCACTGACCTCCAGGACTATTCAGTGCAACCGGAATGAATCCCTTCTCCTTCCCCCCACTTCAACAAAACCTTTAAAATTACAAATTCGGAGATGTGTTTGTCAAAAAGAACAGATCAACTATTTTAAAAGACAGCTGATAAAATCTCTGACTTATATTTTGTGGGAATTTTCTCCAGGCCAGACCACCCAGATCACCCCCCTTCTATACCTGCCTACTAGCTGGACAATTTGGGAATCTCAGAAATTTTTAAGCAAGGATTTGATGTCAAGACTCCTGGCAAGGTTATAATAATACGGTACAGCCGTGGAATAGTGGCTACCTGATGATACCCTTGCTTTCCCGGTGTGGTAATCAAATACCTCTGAATTCAGTGGTGTAGACGAGCAACAGTCAAGTTTCTCTGGAAAGTTCTGGTGATGCCAGATCCTTCTTTGCCTGGCACCAAAGGCAGAGAGGAGGCCATTTATGAGTCGTACACACCTAGGCGGGTAGGTTTGCAGTTGGGCTTGGCCTCCCTGACATTCCGCTTGGAATGTGGCACACGCAAGCCTTCAACCCCCCTCCCAGGGTTCCAGCGAGGCAGTGCTCGCCTGCTTCCCCTTTAACCTGCATCGCCAGCCTGTCTCCCAGCCTCCCTGCCAACTCTTTGAAAACTAAGCTCGTCTCCCGCCTCAGCCCTCTGTTCATCCATCTACAAGCCTCTGACGTGAGGCTCGGGGATGCTCTTCCACCCTCAGCTGCTTCTGCCAGGCCTGCCTCTTCCGTCTCCTTGCTGAACAAAGCATCTGAGACCCTCCACAGCGGGGGGAGGCTGCTCCCACTCCTTCCCCACGAGCAGAAGCAGAAGGGAGCAGTTGATCTGGCACACCAGGGCCACTCTTGCTTGCCGGCTGTCACCTACTGGGCTTTGAAGTTCCCCTTCCCGCCCTCCACAGCCAGTCTCACTTCTCCCAGGACTTCAGTGCCCAAGTCGCATTTCCCTCTGTACCTCAGCTTCTCCCGTCATTCTTGGGGAACCCAGCATCCATGGGTCCTAAGCCCCTCAACCCTTAGCCTTTCCTCTGCACCTACCAAAATTATTCAGCAGCGTAGACATGAAAGACGAACAGTTTTTATAAGCATAAACTTTAAAATTAGATCAGTGTGCCCGGCCGGTGTGGCTCAGTGGATTGAGCTTCCTCCTATGGACTGAGAGGTCCCGGTTCAATTCCCGGTCAGGGCGCATACCCGGGTTGCAGGTTCAATCCTCAGTAGGGGGCGTGAGGAGGCAACTGATCGATGTTTCTGTTTCTCTCCCTTCCCCTCTCCCTAAAAAAATCAATAAAAACATATTTTTAAAATAATAATAACATTAGATCAG